TTCTCAAGCGTTTCGTGTAATTTTCTTAAAGGTTCAAGCCTTGTATAGCTAGTATTTAGGTTCCATTTCAGTTAAATGCTCGTTGTCTGGAAGGCAGTAATTGTTGTTATTTGTCTAACCATTGCGCTTTGCTGTTGGATAATGTCATTTACTTGCGATTTACGACAGTTTAATGATAGACGCAACGTTCCAATACTTGCCTTTGTTGATATGTGTATATATTTATATACGTGTGTTTGTATGTGTGTGTGTGTGTGTGTGTGTGTGTGGGTGAGCGGCTGAGCAACAACCATGATGTACGTTTAGCATGTGATTTGATATTTGGCGTACATTCTTGTGCCCAGTGTTGCATGTAATTTGCTCGTAAAGCGTTGCACGTTAGCCTTTCCACATTATGTCAAGCACAACAGAGAGGGCGGCAACCCTGGTGGACAGCTTACAAAATGTCAACAACACCAACATTGCATATAGACATACATGTGTATGTGTGTGTGTGTGATTTTGTGTGACGTAACGCAGTTTGCTGAACTCAAAGCCAAATAAAAAATGCTTCACAAACTTTTTTCAGTTGGTTTCATTATTATTCATACGAGAAAAAACAGCGCACAGGTGCCGAGGACTGTTAGACACACTAAATAACAATTTACCAAATATGAGCAATGTTTTGTTTTGTTTTTGTTATCGCTTCGCCAACAATTCATTCGGTTAATGACTTTTTTGGACACTATTTTTTTGGAAGCAACGACAGCTGCTAGTGGAGATGAAACGAACTGATCGTGGTATTAATGAAAAGAGTGTTAAACGCAATGGGCATGGGAGCGTTGAAATTTCATTTAATATAAATATAATTTATTAAACAGATTCAATTAATATTGAATGTCTATTGTCTATTCGTGAAGCTAAATGCTTGTTATATATTTGCAGTTCTATTTGTTTTATTCACAAGAATTATAAGAACTATTGTTAACGATCGACTTGCCGCTGATCTGACTTTTATGGCTCTAGTTTAAAGAAATTTTTCAAGATTTTCTTTGTAAAAAAAACAAAAAATGTTTAATAGTAATTTTTGAAATAAAACACAGTTTGTTATCGATAAAATTATAATCATTTGATCAGCATATTCATAAGAAATGCAATCTGTAGATTTGATATTTGAAGTCCTAAGCAAAAGTCTTTTAGTCACTGAAATAGTGACTAACATTTAGAAGAGACTTTTAGAGAATTTACAAAAATATTAATGTCGCTTTTAATATTTATATGAACTAGAAATATCGCTAAGGAATCATATCGAATTAATCTTCAAATTATCATAATGTTGATATGTATTATAATAACAATAAAAATATATATCGGAAAAAAATTTAAGATTTTCAAACATATTGCACTGATATTAAAAACTACTGATCTGGCATTTTTATATGAACAATCTTTGTTTGCAGCCATCATCATATAATCACAATACTCGCCTTCAATATAATATTTTAATATTTAAAACAAAATCAATAGAACTTTTCGCTTTAAATGCTAAATTTGTTTTCGCAATCTGTTGAAATTGTAGCCATTGTACACGGACCTCTCACTTCTTTAAGCGTGCAAGCATAATTCAACAGGTTTTGCTTTAGTTTTCTGCATGGGACTTTAGTTCTAGGCGGACTACCGAAAGGGAAATGAACTCATTGAAATTCTTGACAAGTTGCGCGCGCGCTCATATTGGTTGAAATAACAAAAGAAACATAAGCATCAGAAAAAATACAACAGCAACAAAAAACAAAGTGGCAACAAAGAAAACATCGCTGTTTTTGAGCGGCCGTTTGTTTTGGACACGGACATGGGGCGTTGAGTTTCGAACTCAACATTCAGCCGATGGGCCACATGTGGTGCGTGATTCGTGCTGCGTGTTAAATAAGTGTATATACTTGTATATGTGTGTGTGAGCCTCACTCATGTGAAAGTGCAATGCTTGGTGTTGTTGTTGGTATGCTGACTAGGCGTTTTATGGTCTGGTGTTTTTCACGCGCCCTAGAAGGCATCAAAGAGCGGAAAACTCGTTAGCCGCAAACTTTGCAGATACGCTAATAAGCCAAGTTCATTTAGGCATATATGTACGTATATATTTTATTATTATAATTTAGCACAGTTGCGAGCCATAAACGTAAACAGCAAATGCGTTGGCGCCCAGTATACCGTACAAGTTTTAATTAGAAAAGGAAAAAAGAAAGAAAAAACTATGGCAGGCCAAAGTTTTGCACGCTGATGATAAAAGCAAAGCCGGCGCAAAAACTTTTCAAAGCCGCTCCATAGAGAGCTCCTCTACTACTATATACATAGGCGTTATTATGTACGGATATGTGGCTGACAAGTGTGGGGGGCTGGCCGGAGATAGTGGCAAATAGACGCATGAAACCAAATAATGCCAACAATGCACACGAGCGGGTTAATGCAACAAACAAAAAGCTTAAAAACTAAGCCCCGATGTCGCCGCTGCTGATGCAAGTGTTGAAAGCCATACAAAAGCTGCTAGCCGAGGGAGTTTCCATCCATGAAGTTGTGTAGGGCAAGCAACTAAACAATAAGCTGCCTCGGGAAGCGTGCACTCAGAGAAATACCGAGTATATATTTGGACTGCCTTCTTTTTGCATTAGAATAGTTAATGATAAGGCATTTCATGATAAATAAATTGGCAAAATTAACAATCCAGATGTTATAACAGTTTTGATAATGTAACTCTAGTTTCTATTAATTTTCAGTTCTAGTTTCTATTAAAAATCAATGGTTTCAAACGGAAAATGGTTGTCGAAATTCGAAGCAAGCTATCGAAGATGCATAACATTTTCTTTAGAATTTCTTAGCAAGTATATTTTCTTTATAATTATTTTAAACCACTATACTTTAGGGGTTAAAATGATCTATAGCCAACGAATTCATTTTATATTAATTTTGTCTAAATATTATTTAACAAGTTAACAGAACCGTTAGCAATAAGCCTGCCATTATATTTAAGACTTATTCTAAGCTGAAGACAACGTTTTCGTTAAGTACGAGTGAGATGACAACATTAAACAGCAAATACACCTCTTAAAAAATTTACACAAAGCTTGTAATAAGCAACAGCATTAACAAAAAATGATTATTTTATATTCTATAATAATGGATGATTCACATGGACAGTCTTTTTTTTTATCAAAATACATAAGTAAATGCTTGTTTGAATATATGAAGTAATATAATAAACTAATAATAAACTTATTAACAGATTTTTCTCATAACGCTTGAGTTTTATGCTTAAGACACATTCTGAACTGAACATCTTATAAAATTTGTAGGGATATCACCACAGTTTTTTGTTAAGTCGCATTGCATAGTATTGTAAGAAGACAGCCAATGCTCTTCTAAATAAAAATGTCTCAAAAGGTTGGTATTAAGCAGCAGCATTAATAAAAAATTATCATAAAAAGAAAAACCTCAGCTACCGTTACTTTAAATATTTGGAGTAGTATCCTTATGAACTATACTCATTAACAGACTTTTCTCCACGTGCTCGAGTTTATTTCCTAGCTGTGAACTCTTTTTGCATCCGTATAACGAGCTTCAGCACAGCTTGCATAAATCATTGCACTCTGCATTTCTATAGTACACTTTTTATACAACCATTTACATTTTTTGTTGTTGTTGTTTTTTTTTGTTTTTTTGTTGCTTATCAGGCTGAAAAGTTGATGGCTTTTGTGGCAGCCGCTGATTAGAGTTGCGTCTGGTCGCGCCGCCACAGAACTGGGTCACCAAGTTGTTGACACAAAGAAGCAGCAGCAGAAATATCTAAAGTCAATAGCTAAGTGCTGCTTATGACGCCGCTATGCTCGCACCCACAAATACTCAGATATTTCTATATACATAAGCACAGTAATTGATAATGTTTTGTCAATGGCTGCTTATGCAAGGCTTTTTAATGCTTTGGCTTTGTGTTGAAATTCTGTTTTTATCAGTTCCGTTTCTTTTTTTATAGTTATACGTACTTTGGTCTAAAGTAGTTTGAAATTATGTTAAATTGTTGATTCAACTTTACACATAAAAGTTAACAAAGATGTCAAAAACATTAAAACTTCAGCTATTGATAGCCAGACAAAATATAAGATATTGTTTAACATTTATTTGCTGTATTGATTATTGAAGAAGTTAAATATATGAACAAAATTTATGATATATAATAAAATAAATCTATAATAAAATAAATATATTATATAACTAAAATCAATTTGATCTGCTTGAATGTGTGCTTATAGTTTGCAACTTAATGAAGTCTAACATAAGTCTAAGTCTAAGACATAGTACCCCTTTCCCTATTAAATTAATTTAATATTTAACTTAACAGAATACATTTGATTAATTTTAGTAACCAACTTAATAGTTTCTCAGTCAAATTTATTAATTCAATTTTTGTATTTATTTATAACAACTAGCCCAGAGCTAAAACTTTAAGCTAACATAGAGAAACTAAAGCATTTATATTAGAGTCGTCTTAAGCTATGTTATATGAGTTTAGCATTATATTCTTTATATTTTATAATATTCTGTTATGTATATGCCTATCATTAATCAATCAATCTCTTAGCAAAATAAAACCATACAACTTTTTACGCAATGGCATCTCTAAAATCTTGTTCCACTCTTCAAATTTTTAAAAATTTGTTGTTAAAAATCTTATAGTTTTTGATATCTGATTTACACTTGTATATGAAAAGCAGAATAGACATAGGAAACATTCTAAGGGAGGAACCCATATCAGACACAAGTCTAGGGGCATGAAAACGCGTTATTTGAAACTATTATCAGCAATACTTTGCAGCTTCAGGCGTAATACTTGTAGTATGCTGTGTGAACACATCATTTAATCAACAAAAATTTAAAAAAAAAATCAATAACCCACTCAGACAGGCATGCAAATTTAATAAATTGTTTTTTTATGTTTTGTTCTTTTTTTTAATTTAAAGACAACTTCAACTCACCTTTTGACAGAAATTTTTCATGCGCAATTTCTTAAAGAGCTGCTGCAAAGAAACAAGAAACAAAGAATTGTATTATTATAATAATTAAATTAATAATTAATTATGGTTAACTAATATAAATGCGTATTATTAAATGCAATAGAAGCTAGAATCAGAAACTAAACAGCCCCTTGAATTAACGCACAGCAACTATTAAAATTAATCAATGTCATAAAACGACAGCAGAAACCATTACAGCTCATTAGCATGTACAAGTTGCTATAAAATACAGTCTACCTGCAGCAAAGAACTGCCACTAATAACAACAACAATAACAACAACGACGACGACGGCAATAAAGGCAACAACCAGAGCAACCGCCAACGCCTGCCTCGTTGGAAACTTGTCAACTGTAACGCAGACAATAAACAATATGCATAAATTAATAATAAGCAAAAAGAAATACTACTACTCGCACATAACAACATTTTCTGATATCAACAGAGACAAATAATCAGGCAAATAAACGATGACGACCATGTAATGAATACACTAACAACAAAAACCAAGAACTAACGTTGCATGAAAGTCAGGGTTAGTCGAGGGTGTGCGCACATACAAGTATGCGTGGCGCATTGATCGCTGCCTAGCATATGTGTGTATATACAAGTAGTATGTATGTAGGTATACATAGGCCTTTGAGGGGGTCTGCAGTAAGGGGAAGTCCGGCTAGCAACATTGTCCGCAGCAGCAGCAGCAGCACGCAGCTAATTTCATGCTCAGTTGCGCAGTATCTTTTATAATTGATAGACCGTGGGTATCTGTGTGTGTGCATATCTGTGTGTGTGTGTGTGTGTGTGTGAATAGACTCCACTCATATGCATAAGAAGTCAGGTAACTGGAGAACAAAGTTACCACACAAAGTAAATGATAACTTGCAATTACAGGACTGACTTGTCATTATCGTTTACATGCCTACTCGTATGGTGCTTGAAATGAAAGGCAACTGGAAAAGTTGCTAGGAAGAGCCAGCGATACGTAATATCAATAGAAAGTCATAATTTATTTATTTAATTCTGACAAAGAACTGTCAATTTAAAAATAACTCTCCATTGGATCTTGGAAATTCATGGAAAACGTAAATGTTAAAATGTTAACAGAACTTAAAATTTAAACTCCATCCACATAGAAAAACAACAAATATACATTTAATTTACACAATTTTTATAGCTCATATACAAAAATTTTATTGCTCTTCTCGTTGTAAATATTTGTGACACAAAAGAGTTTTCTAATCTCGACTAATATATCCATAAATTTTCCAAAATGTGTAGCACCTCGCAGCCTAAATAAGACATTTATGTTTTTATGATGCCCTTACATTAAATCGAAATAAGCTTCTTATCACTTAAGCTCTGGTCTACTTGTACAAAAATTCTAAATAAATCTACGCTTTTATTTCTTTTGAAAGAAATATGCCCTACAAATATAATTAACAAAATTTCTTCATCTCTAAAGACTAACAATTAAGTCAATAGGCAATCCACTCGAAATGTTGGTGCACGGCAAACTTTTTACGGCTTTTTTACTATTGCAAGACAGTTCCACAGTGTTATGTATTAATCATATCTAGTTTGAAGTTAGTAAGTAGCTGCTCCATCTATTCAAAATTTCGTAAATATTGTCATCACTCTTTCCATCGCCATCTCCACTATCACCAACGCTGTCGTTGTTGTTGTTGTTGTCGTTCATTGCTCCGTTGGCCCTGGCTTGTCGTAACTAACTGACGACACGCACTCTGTGTGTTTATTTAATAAATAAAAATTTGCATAAATTTGCCAAAGCGCGCAGCACACCGAGTTCCCGACAACCCCCACTATAGCTAGCCCCCCATTGACGTAGTCAAGTTTTTGGCGTTGACGCGCAAAAAGCAAGCAAATTTATTTCGCAAAAAAGGATTAGATGGGAATAAATCAGCGCAAAAAATTGCATAAAAATGCGGCACAGAAAATCAGGCATAAGCACGGCATATAATGTCGTACTATAATGACGATATAATGTTATCGGTGTTGTAGTAATCATGCAAATAGCAAATTCTTCTGTTTACTTATGCATGAAGCTCTTGTGCTCTTTCATGCTGATTGCCCTTTGTGGGAAGAGTTGGGAGCACGAATGATTAATTGGTGTGAGTATGTCTGACTGGGCTGATTTATTTAAGAGTTCAAGGAGAAACGCACGGTTACCATAATGGCCAATGGCCAATCAAGTTTGCAAAATTGAATTGCAATTACAAAGAATACAAAAAGTATACCAACATCTTACTATAACTGCTCGAAAGAATCAAAGCATGCATACTGTCTATAAGCTTTATAATTTGAAATCAAGGAACTGACCTATGTATCTTGTCTTTCTACAAGTATACAAGTATACATTGTATTCTTTTATATTGCTTTAAATCTAGAGGTCGACTCGCGCGATATTTATTTATTCACAGTACTACTTAGAAAATTGTTTATTTTTATTTTGATTTTAAAAATGCATTGCTATTTTGTTTATTTAAAAGCTATTGTGCTTTATTTATGTGAAACAAAAGGAATATTTTTTAAATCCTTAAATAATGTTTATATTATGTGTATCATAAATACATAAAAACGTAATATACTGTAATAAATTAAATTATAAACATTATTTTGTTTTTTTTTCTATTTGGACTTGCGAACTTTAAGTTAAACTAATATTTAAAATAAAAACAAAAATTAATTATTGTGCTTTTCTGTTTTATTATTTTATTTAAAAATTCTGCACACAAAATTTTAGCTAGAAATTCCAAGAAAATAAAGACATTATTTTCTTTTTTTATTTATATTTTTTTTATTTTCTATTTCTATTTGGATTTCACAACCTTAAGCTAAACTATATTTTAAAATAATTAAACTAAATATTTATGTTCCGAAATTGCTTTTCTGCTTGTTGTTTTATTTTTTTTTAAATATCTCTACACAAAAATCAAGCTAGAAATTTATTAAGCTCCAGCAAAATAAAAGGATTGACTTGACAGTCTGAAATTCCTATCTGCTTACGTGAATTACTGCAGCACGATTCTATTGTTATTCTCAGTATGTAGCACACCATTTATATAATTCAAGTTGTCTCTCTGTTTGGCTTGTAATTCAATACTTCTATTTTATTGCATAAAAAGTGGCTAAGCAACGGCATCTTCTATTTAAGTTACACAACGCAGACTAGACTGGCAGTCCAAACATGGGCCACGACCCACAACGACACAACAGCTTACATGACAGACATACCAGTTGCTATAAGTTGTTATTGTTGTTGTTGTTGTTGTTGTTATCAAAAATGTATTATCATGTTAAAGTTTTGCGCAGCAATGCCAAAAAAATATATATAAAATAAAAGCCAAAGTGCAGTAACAACAAAAGAGAAGCGAAAAATGCGACTACTGTGCAGCTGGCGAGCAATTTGTTCTACTTGATAATTTATTTGAATATTTGGCATAGTTATTACAACAAAAGCCACAACAACAACAACAAGTTGCACAAAGCAACAAAGACACAGCAGCACAACAACATTCTCTACACATTTTGCATTTAATGTTAGAGCAGCCACAACAACTACGATTATAGCCGTAAGTCTGCGAAACTGGTCAAGAGCTGGGCGCGTGGTTTTTCATGTTGTCAGAGTTGTCAAGTCGCCGTCACATGGAAGTCACTTCCAGCACTTTTGTCGCTGACATTGAGCGCACATAATCACCTGAGCAGAGCTGAGCTGACAGATCTGCGATCTACGTGTATGTGTGTGTGTGTGTGTGGAAAACTGCAGCAGCTCTGGCCCATGAAAAATGATTGGCTCTAATTGGGGAGGGGGGTTGGCATAAAACGAAAATGTGCAGCCTGTTTCAGATTTAAATATCGTTGTATGATAAATGATATGCTTGGCATTAGAACATCAACGCACACTTAAAGCCAATTAACTTTTTTTTCTTCTTCTAAACGAAAGCAATCGAACAAGGCAGATCACAACAGGCCTAGCGCACACACAATGGACCTGAATAAGAGCCAGACATGATGGACTCCTAGATTCGAACACCGCTCAACAAAATATTTGTTCACAGTGCGTTTTCTAATTCTAAAATCTAAATCGTTTTATGTAATTAAATGTGTGGTTTCCATAAATAAAGGTTGATTATTATTGGTATTTATATTATTACTTTTTAGAAAAATATGTTACGTCCCAAAAAAATTATTTATTTTTAAACATGCTAAACGTAAACAATAATGTTGTTCAGGAAATTTTTAGACATCTATAGAATCTGTGGAGTTTTGCAGTTACATAAGTCGCCAGTTGTTTGGAGAGTCTTTGTTGGCTTCAGGCAGAACGATTGATTTCATCTACGACTAAAATAATTTAATATGAAATTACCAAATGAATGTTATTCTACTAAATTTTATGTAGTATGAACATACTAGAAATTCCCACATAGCTTAAAACGTATACTCTATAAAGTCTGCAAAATACATTTAAAGTCGGCCTTTTCTGTTTTCTTTTTCTTTTTAGAAATGTTTGTCTTCAATTAAGAATTTTGCAATTCATCAAATTCAACATAACTAATAATACTATTACATTTCTTTTAAGGTATAATCTTCAATTGGATTAGTAAGCAGCATTTTCAAAACTGAAACCCAGAAGCAGTAGTTATTCTTCTTTATTTATATTTCCCAAGTGGGCCTTATAACTGTAAGTACATATATATTTATTTTATCTTAGTTATTTATTTCGTCACTAAAAATATTAATATGGACTGATCCACAACCGATCCTTTAAAATATTTCTCCAATAAAATATATTCTTAATAAAAAGAAATCTCTCTAAAAAGCTAGATTTCTATTAGTTCTGGGCTAATTTTATAAAGTGTCGGGCGTATTCTGGGACTTTATCTGTCGAAGACACAAGTATTTGGCTTTAACTTTAAAGCTCTGAACAAATTCTACACTTATTTTACAAAAACAAAAAATTGCATTAAAAACTTTGCCAACCAGTGTAAT